AATGACACATCAAATTATATAAAAAATGAAATAAAAAAATTATACAAAAATTATTTCTTTTTATTAAACCTGGTGCGGCGCTTAAAATGAATAATTATAGAAGCATGAAATTTTATTGGAATAAAATTTGAAATTAATAATATAATATGGGTAATTTTATTTAAAATAATAAAAAATAAATTTTATATTATTTAATAATTATTTTTTATTTTATTAAAATATCTTGTTTTAAATTATTTAATGATATAATTTATATTATTTAAATTCTAAGTTTTCTTTCTTTATATTACTTCTTGCTCTAATTTTTTATTTTTTTCTGTTAAGGGAATTATTTTGATTATTAATTTTTTAAATTTATGAAAGTTGAGGGGTTCAATATTATATATAAATATTTAATCATGATCTTTTCTTTTATAGGTCTCAACTTGATTTTACCGCAAGTGCCATATAAAGTCTGTTTTTGAAACATCTGATCTCATAATTAACATATATAGAGAAGATTCAATCATCCAATTAGAGAACAAAGCAAAAAAATAAATAACAAAAAAAAAAAATAAATTTCAATTATTGAAAGTCGCCCAACAGAAAATTCATGGAATCACAGGGAACAGGGAAAAGTATAAAGGAACTAAAATAATATCCTGAAGGCTCCATTTTCAATCCAGATGGTCAATGATTCCTATGCAAAGTCAACATTTAAAAAATTAATTTAACTTTGACATCAACGTGCAGTAACAATAAACAGACAAAACAATTCATTAAAATATTTCAATTTAGGTTTAAAAAAACCAATTCAATAAAATAAAAAACAAAAGGTTGAGGAGATAAAAAGGAAAATAAACTAACCATACAAGTGATTGAAGAAGAGCTGAGTAGCACCAGTGGATTTGACAACCTCCAGAAGAGAAGAGGCACTATCAGTAGATCTCTTTGTGATGAGACAAGTTCCAAGACTCCTGAGAGAAGAGTCAAGATGAGCCAAGCTCTGCTTAAGCCACCACCTGGAGACCCTCCCAGGATAGTAGTGGCCCTCTTCTTCAGGTACCCATGTGTAGACAGCAACAACAGCTCCTGCTCTCACACCAGCCGCTAGTGCTGGGTTGTCATATCAATATTATATATAAATATTTAATTAT